AAATTGCTGATTTTTGGGTAGGTAACAGTCAATCGAATGTTACTTCAAATTTTACAATTCGTTACTTCGCGAAAAGAAAAAGTAAATATTTTTATTCATTTGGTAATTTAAATTTTTAATCTTGGAATATTTCCAAAGTCCCAAGTTTTTTTAGATAATGCCTGCCCCTAACCGAAACGAGAAAGTCAAGTGTGAGAAATTTGGTGATGAATACAGGAGATCTGATGCTGCGAGACATCGAAAGAAATGTGAAAAGCAGGCGGAACATAAGTGTTCAAACTGTCATTTTTATGCAAAGAGGAGCTGGGTTATCATGTTGCGAAGAATCATGCTCAACCAAGTTCGAAGCAGTCGAAAGTATCCTTCTTGCGACCAAGAATTCCCAAGTCACTACTCTCTCCAACAACATCGAAGAAAGGAACATGGAGCAAAAAGACGGAAACCCAGTGATACTGTAGCGAACTTGAACAAGATTGTGGAGGAAGAAGGGGAAGATGGTGAAAAACTGAAGGATGAACTTAGTGCTTGTCAACATTTTTTGGTGGATACGGAGATGGAAAATGGGAGACATAAGGTATTTAACTTCCAAATGTCCAAGTTAGATACTAAAAAAATCAACGAGAACCTTTTTAGTAGTTTTTACTAAAAATAAGAAATATTCCCGATAAAAGTAACAAAAGAAGAAAAATTAATTAAAGTAGCATCTCTGCAAGTCTTTTCATCAAGTTAATTGAATTTTTTGTATAGAATCGATGAAAAATTGCTGATTTTTGAGTTGATAGTCAAGTTCTTGGATTTAGATGTAGATTTGAGAGAATAACTCAAAAGTTTGATGAATTTTTTTTTGTATATAATCGATGAGAAATTGCTGATTTTTGGGTAGGTATTCAAAGTCCCAAGTTTTTTTTAGATAATGCCTGCCCTTAACCGAAACGAGAAAGTCAAGTGTGAGAAATTTGGTGATGAATACAGGAGATCTGATGCTGCGAGACATCGAAAGAGATGTGAAAGCTGGCGGAACATAAGTGTCCAAACTGTCATTTTTATACAAAGAGTAAAGAGGAGATCGGTTATCATGTTGCGAAGAAGCGTGCTCAACCAAGTTCGAAGCAGTCGAGTTTATCCTTCTTGCTAACAAGAATTCCCAAGTTACTACTCTTTTCAACAACATCGGAGAAAGGAACATGGAGCAAAACAACGGAAACCCAGTGATACTGTAGCGGACTTGAACAAGATTGTGGAGGAAGAAGGGTAAGATGGTGAAAAACTTAAGGAGGAACTTAGTGCTTGTTAACATTTTTTGGTGGATACGGAGATGGAAAATGGGAGACATAAGTTATTTAACTTTCAAATGTCCAAGTTAAATACTAAAATAATCAACGAGAACCTTTTTAGTATTTTATACTAAAAATAAGAAATATTCCCGATATAAGTAACAAAAGAAGAATAATTACTAAAAGTATTATGTCTGCAAGTCTTCTCATCAAGTTAATTGATTTTTTTTGTATATAATCGATGAGAAATTGCAGATTTTTGAGTAGATAGTCAAGTTTTTTTTGATTTTGATGTAGATTTGAGCGGATAACTCAAAGTTGATGAATTTTTCAAATCAAATCTCTGGTAATCTGATTCCAAACCTGATCATGCAAGATTTTGAACTTTGAAAATCTTTAAAGAAATTGACGAATAAAGAACTTTGCTGAGGAGTTTTGACAAATTTGGGAGTTGGGTAGGTAATAAAAAGAGTCTATGAAATATTATCGTACGACTTCAAACTTCAAATTTTCTAAAATAAATAAAGTTTCTTTTCTAGTCAGGTGTAATTCAGCTGTAAGTTTATAGCTTTGATACGTAATATGTGGATCAAAAGCAAACTCTTTGATTGAGTAAGTTTCCCTAAAGAGACCTTTACTTATTCGGAGAACTCTATTTTGGATTACATAAACGTCCAAAAAGTTGTGAAAAAAGTAAGAATCTACATCTATTTCATCAATAAGGAAATAACGCGGAATATTTTCTTTTTTCTTGTAGAGGAACTCGAGGAAGTTCAAACGTTTTTTAATTGACATTTTTCAAAATTGATTAGCAGGCGGAACATAAAAGTCCAAACTGTCATTTTTATACAAAGAGCAGAGAGGAGATGGGTTATCATGTTGCGAAGAAGTATGCTCAACCAATTTTGAAGCAGTCGAGTTTATCCTTCTTGCGAACAAGAATTCCCAAGTTACTACTCTCTCCAACAACATCGAAGAAAGGAACATGGAGCAAAAAGACGGAAACCCAGTGATACTGTAGCCAACTTGAACAAGATTGTAGAGGAAGAAGGGGAAGATGGTGAAAAATTTCAGGAGGAACTTAGAGCTTGTCAACATTTTTGGTGGATACGGAGATGCAAAATGGGAGACATCAGGCATTTACCTTCCAAATGTCCAAGTTAGATACTAAAATAATCAACGAGAACCTTTTTAGTATTTTTTACTAAAAATAAGAATTATTCCCGATATAAGTAACAAAAGAAGAAAAATTACTAAAAGTAGCATCTCTGCTAGTCTTCTTATCATATTAATTGATTTTTTTTTATATATAATTGATGAGAAATTGCTGATTTTGGGTAGGTATTCAAAGTCCCAAGTTTTTTTCAGGTAATGCCTGCCCTTAACCGAAACGAGAAAGTCAAGTGTGAGAAATTTGGTGATGAATACAGGAGATCTGATGCTGTGAGACATCGAAAGAGATGTGAAAAGCAGGCGGAACATAAGTGTCAAATCTGTCATTTTTATACAAATAGTAAAGAGGAGATCGGTTATCATGTTGCGAAGAAGCATGCTCAACCAAGATCGAAGCAGTCGAGTTTATCCTTCTTGCTAACAAGAATTCCCAGGTTACTACTCTCTTCAACAACATCGGAGAAAGGAACATGGAGCAAAACAACGGAAACCCAGTGATACTGTAGCGGACTTGAACAAGATTGTGGAGGAAGAAGGGGAAGATGGTGAAAAACTTAAGGAGGAACTTAGTGCTTGTTAACATTTTTTGGTGGATACGGAGATGGAAAATGGGAGACATAAGGTATTTAACTTCCAAATGTCCAAGTTAGATACTAAAATAATCAACGAGAATTTTTAGTATTTTATACTAAAAATAAGAATTATTCTAGATATAAGTAACAGATGAAGAAAAATTACTAAAAGTAGCATCTCTGCAAGTCTTCTTATCAAGTTAATTGATTTTTTTTTGTATATAATCGATGAGAAATTGCTGATTTTTGGGTAGATATTCAAAGTCCCAAGTTTTTTTTAGATAATGCCTGCCCTTAACCGAAACGAGAAAGTCAAGTGTGAGAAATTTGGTGATGAATACAGGAGATCTGATGCTGTGAGACATCGAAAGAGATGTGAAAAGCAGGCGGAACATAAGTGTCAAAACTGTCATTTTTATACAAAGAGTAAAGAGGAGATCGGTTATCATGTTGCGAAGAAGCATGCTCAATCAAGTTCGAAGCAGTCGAGTTTATCCTTCTTGCTAACAAGAATTCCCAAGTTACTACTCTCTTCAACAACATTGGAGAAAGGAACATGGAGCAAAACAACGGAAACCCAGTGATACTGTAGCGGACTTGAACAAGATTGTGGAGGAAGAAGGGGAAGATGGTGAAAAACTTAAGGAGGAACTTAGTGCTTGTTAACATTTTTTGGTGGATACGGAGATGGGAAATGGGAGACATAAGGTATTTAACTTCCAAATGTCCAATTTAAATACTAAAATAATCAACGAGAACCTTTTTAGTATTTTATACTAAAAATAAGAAATATTCCCGATATAAGTAACCACAGAAGAAAAATTACTAAAAGTAATATCTCTGCAAGCCTTCTCATCAAGTTAATTGGGTTTTTTTTGTATATAATCGATGAGAAATTGCAGATTTTTGAGTAGATAGTCAAGTTTTTTTGATTTTGATGTAGATTTGAGCGGATAACTCAAAATTGATGAATTTTTCAAATCAAATCTCTGGTAATCTGATTCCAAACCTGATCATGCAAGATTTTGAACTTTGAAAATCTTTAAAGAAATTGACGAATAAAGAACTTTGCTGAGGAGTTTTGACAAATTTGGGAGTTGGGTAGGTAATAAAAAGAGTCTATGAAATATTATCGTACGACTTCAAACTTCAAATTTTCTAAAATAAATAAAGTTTCTTTTCTAGTCAGTTGTAATTCAGCTGTAAGTTTATAGCTTTGATACGTAATATGTGGATCAAAAGCAAACTCTTTGATTGAGTAAGTTTCCCTAAAGAGACATTTACTTATTCGGAGAACTCTATTTTGGATTACATAAACGTCCAAAAAGTTGTGAAAAAAGTAAGAATCTACATCTATTTCATCAATAAGGAAATAACGCGGAATATTTTCTTTTTTCTTGTAGAGGAACTCGAGGAAGTTCAAACGTTTTTTATTTGACATTTTTCAAAAATGATTATTTTTGATCCAAAGTTATTTCTAGAAACTGCTTAGTTCTGATTGGTTGATTTTTTTTCTGGAAAATATTAATAATTTTGAAGGAACGACGTAGACGATGACGTCATTACCATAAAAGGAAAATTGCACGGGTGGTGACATCACTTCTATTTATAGAATGACGTCATTACCATAAAAGGAAAATTAGGTAGGCTGTGAAGTCACTTTATTTAAAGAATGACATCATGACAATAAAAGGATAATTGCGTAGGCGATGACGTCATTGTTTGTAAAATTACGTATAAAACGCTATAAATACACCAAGTTCATCAGTGCAGTCGACAGTTTGTCCTTCTTGCAAACAAGATTTCCCAAGTTACTATTCTCTCCAACAACATCGGAGAAAAGGAACATGGAGCAAAACAACGAAAACCCAGTGATACTGTAGCGGTTTTGAACAAGATTGTGGAGGAAGAAGGGGAAGATAGTGAAAAACTTAAAGAGGAACTTAGAGCTTGTCAACATTTTTGGTGGATACGGAGATGGAAAATGGGAGACATCAGGTATTTACCTTCCAAATGTCCAAGTTAGATACTAAAATAATCAACGAGAACCTTTTTAAAATTTTTTACTTAAAATAAGAATTATTCCCGATATAAGTAACAAAAGAAGAAAAATTACTAAAAGTAGCATCTCTGCAAGTCTTCTTATCAAGTTAATTGATTGTTTTTGTGTATACTCGATGAGAAATTGCTGATTTTTGGGTAGATATTCAAAGTTCCAAGTTTTTTTTAGATAATGCGTGCCCTTAACCGAAACGAGCAGGTCAAGTGTGAGAAATTTGGTGATGAATACAGTAGATCTGATGCTGCGAGACATCGAAAGAGATGTGAAAAGCAGGCGGAACATAAGTGTCCAAACTGTCATTTTTATACAAAGAGCAAAGAGGAGATGGGTTATCATGTTGCGAAGAAGTATTCTCAACCAATTCCGAAGCAGTCGAGTTTATCCTTCTTGCGAACAAGAAGTCCAAGCTACTACTCTCTCCAACAACATCGGAGAAAGGAACATGGAGCAAAACTACGGAAACCCAGTGATACTGTAGCGGACATGAACAAGATTGTGGAGGAAGAAGGGGAAGATGGTGAAAACCTTAAAGAGGAACTTAGAGCTTGTCAACATTTTTTAGTGGATACGGAGATGGAAAATGGGAGACATCAGGTATTTACCTTCCAAATGTCCAAGTTAGATACTAAAATAATCAACGAGAATCTTGAAGTCTTCAACAAGCTCGATTCTGCCGCTGAAATCCACCTTGCTTTGGGTTTTGTTCTTCGAAATTTTGAGACTGGTGAATATCAATTTTTTTACGCCCATTAAAACAATACTTTATTTGAAAAAACCCATTTGCTCTGCACTAAAGCAGACTTGATATCAATCCAAGGAAAAGTGGAAAAATTTGCTATTGTGGAACAATGTACTCAAGAGCGACAAAACACAAAGTGGCGATTCAAGTTGATCACAAATGTGACAATTTTCGCTGCTTTGCTGCAAACCATCCCAATGGGATGTCCGGACTCTGTCATACCTGAAGCTTTACTACGAGATACCCAAAAGAACTGTCTTTTATCTAACAAAGACAAGGAACCTTACAAAGAGCATTTGTGTCTTTTCCGCGCATTGGCAATGTACATGAATGGACACAAGGATCTCAACTCTCACACATCCAGATACTTTATAGAGTTTATATCAAAATCTGGTTATGTGCCTGTAGAAGACTTACCTGTTGTCGAGGAAATTGTGCAAAGAAACATCTTTATATACGATTTCGATATCCAAGAAGGAGAATATGTAGGAGAACTAGCTCGACGAAGTATCGGAAAATTTGATAAAACTGTTAAGCTACTGAGATTTATCAATCAAATCATTCATACAAATGATATACATATTTTCTTCAAGTGCTTTCGATGCCCTAGCTGTGACACCTTTTTCTAGAAATCAGACCACTTCAATCAGCATCTCCTGAGATGCAAGGACCGAGTGAGAAATTTTTACCCAAAGAACGTGTATGAGCTCCGCGAAACCTTGTTTGAAAAACTACAAGGATTCAATGTTCCAGTTTCTGAACTTAACAGATTTTTTAATAATCTAGCAATTTTCGATTTTGAGTCGATTTGTGTTCCTACAGAGGAATTAAAAGAAACACAAACTACAACCTGGGTTGGTAAACATGTTCCATTTTCAGTCTCTATATCATCGAATCTGATCGATGAACCCATCTTTTTGTACAACAAGGATCCACAGAACTTGATAATTGTTTTTTTAAGCAACCTCGAACTGTTGGCTGAAAAAAATAAGCTGGAGATGAGAAAAAATCAGTATATTGAAGTAGCTATCAGTGAAAGAATGGAAAATATCTTTGATCAGCTAAACGAACATGATAAATAATTTTCGAATAACAAATTTGAGTACGAAGACGAATGCATTGAAGATTCGGAAGAAGCAGATATGTCAACACAATTCTTACAAATTCAGAAAAATCAGCTCATCGATACGAAACAGCATCTGGAGAGATATGTAAATACTATAACTGTTTTTGGATTTTATAGTGGTAGATACAATTTGAATTTGATCAAGTCCTACCTAATCCCCTATTTGATTCGCGATAAAGAACAAGAAACATCCGTCATCAAAAAAGCAAATGACTTTTTATCTTTCAAGTTTCAAGTTTGGAGATGTACAATTTCTCGACATAAGGAAGTTTCTGGGAGGAGCAACTACTCTGGACTCCTTTCTCAGAGCCTATAAATATAGCGAAACAGAAGTATTCTTTCCCTATGAGTGGTTTGATAACCCAGACAAACAGATTTTCCCGAATTGCCGCCGTATGAAACTTTTTTCAGTAAACTTAGAACAACAATCCTCTAGACAAAGACTTCATTGGTTGTGAGAACCTGAGAAAGGGTGGGATTGACGAACAACAGGCACTTGAAAAGCTTCAAATCAAGACTGTTCTTCCATCTGGATTGGATAATTACAATTACTTACAGGCTTGGAATAAAAACAGAATGACAGTGTTCAAAGGCTTTTTGAAGTAGTACAACAACAAGGATGTAGTTCCAACCCTGGAGGCAAAGCTAAAAACGTTTCAGTTTTATCATAACAAGGGGATAGATATGTTGAAACTTGGATGCACACTTCCAAGTCTAGCCAGCATATGTCTACACAATTTACAAGTTTTATCCATTTTGCGAAAGTGATTAAGATTTGTTTGAAAAAATTATAGAAGACACGACTGGTGGAGTTTCCATTGTTTCCACTCGAAAAGCTGTAGTTGATGAAACATTCATCAGAAACTCATCAAATGTTTGTAAATCGATCGTTGGAATTGATGCAAGCCAGCTTTACCCTTTCTCAATGTGTCAAGATTTGCCAACAGGACTGTACACGAGATAAGAGTTTGACACTGATATGCAAAAACTCAAGGCTAGACGTAATCGAACTCGCCACTTTGAGATTATGGTCATGTCTTACTATCGGGAAACAAGACCAGAATGTAAAAATGAGAGCTTTTTTACATCTGGAAAACAGAAAAAAATCGAATGTTTTAATTATGATGGTTACTGCGATCATTGTAAAACAGTATTCGAAGCAAGGTGATGCTACTACCACTTCTGTTCCATTCTAGAAGCTCGTCCCTCGTTAACAGATCAAAATATTGAACGAGGTAATAGGAAGAGAGAGATGGGTGATATGCGACGAGAATACATTAAAGAGAAAGGATACAAAGTTGAAGAAATGTGGGAGTGTGGGTGGTGGGAAAGTTTTAAAACCGATGATAAGATCAAAAATCACGTCAGAACCGACTTTCCCTACAAAAGACCACTTTCTACAGACTCCCTTCTAGCAAAAATAAAAGATGGATCTCTTCTTGGATATGTTCAGTGCAATTTAGTTGTTCCAGATGAGCTAAAATCAAAATTTGCCAAATTTCCTCCAAATTTCAAAAATACTGAGGTTGGAAGAAACGATAATGGAGCCTTAATGGAGAATTATGCAATCGAGAATGAAATGTTAAAACATCCTCAGAGAATGCTGATATCTAGTTTCAAGCTAGAAAATGGAACAGTTATAACTCCTCTGTTCAAATTTTATTTGGAACTTGGCTTGCAGTGCACCAAAATTTACCGTTTTGCTCAATATTCTCCTCGTTTCATTAATTTTGTTCAATCAGTGATTGATGCGAGAAGAGAAGGAGATGAAAACCCTTTGTCAGGAGTTGTAGCAGAAACTACGAAGCTTTTAGGCAATTCCTCGTATAGATATCAGATCACCGATAGATCCAGGCATACAATTACGAAGTATCCGAACGATGAAAAAACTCATAAAGCAATCAATGAGCCATTGTTCAAAAGACTAAATAGAGTTGAAAATGACTTGTATGAGGTGAAGTTGTTGAAATCAACCATTAAACACAGAGAACCCATCATTGTTCTCTGTGTTTAAGGAACCTTACAAAGATCATTCGTGTCTTTTGAACCCATCATTGTTCTCTGTGTTTAAGGAACCTTACAAAGATCATTTGTGTCTCAAGGAACCTTACAAAGATCATTTGTGTCTTTTCCGCGCATTGGCAATGTACATGAACGGACACAAGGATCTCGACTCTCACACATCCAGATATTTTATAGAGTTTATATCAAAATCTGTTTATGTTCCTGCAGAAGACTTAACTGTTGTCGAGGAAATTGTGCAAAGAAACATCTTTATATACGATTTCGATATCCAAGAAGGAGAATATGTAGGAGAACTAGCTCGACGAAGTATCGGAAAATTTGATAAAACTGTTAAGCTACTGAGATTTATCAATCAAATCATTCATACAAATGATATACATATTTTCTTCAAGTGCTTTCGATGCCCTAGCTGTGACACCTTTTTCTAGAAATCAGACCACTTCAATCAGCATCTCCTGAGATGCAAGGACCGAGTGAGAAATTTTTACCCAAAGAACGTGTATGAGCTCCGCGAAACCTTGTTTGAAAAACTACAAGGATTCAATGTTCCAGTTTCTGAACTTAACAGATTTTTTAATAATCTAGCAATTTTCGATTTTGAGTCGATTTGTGTTCCTACAGAGGAATTAAAAGAAACAAAAACTACAACCTGGGTTGGTAAACATGTTCCATTTTCAGTCTCTATATCATCGAATCTGATCGATGAACCCATCTTTTTGTACAACAAGGAACCACAGAACTTGATAATTGATTTTGTAAGCATTCTCGAACTGTTGGCTGAAAAAATTATGCTGGAGATGACAAAAAATCAAGATATTGAAGTAGCTATCAATGAAAGAATGAAAAAATATCTTTGATCAGCTAAACGAACGTGATAAAAATTATTCGAATAACAAATTTGAGTACGAAGACGAATGCATTGAAGATTCGGAAGAAGCAGATATGTCAACACAATTCTTACAAATTCAGAAAAATCAGCTCATCGATTTGAAACAGCATCTGGAGAGATATGTAAATACTTTACCTGTTTTTGGACTTAATAGTGGTAGACACAATTTGAATTTGATCAAGTCCTACTTAATCCCCTATTTGATTTGCGATAAAGAACAAGAAACATCCGTCATCAAAAAAGCAAATGACTTTATATCTTTCAAGTTTCAAATTTGGAGATGTACAATTTCTCGACATAATGAAGTTTTTGGGAGGAGCAACTACTCTGGACTCCTTTCTCAAAGCCTATAAAATTAGCGAAACGGAAGGATTCTTTCCCTAAGAGTGGTTTGATAACCCAGACAAACTTGATTTTCCCGAATTGCCGTCGTATGAAACTTTTTTTTCAGTAAACTTAGAACAACAATCCTCTAGACAAAGACTTCATTGATTATGAGAACCTGAGAAAGAGTGGGCTTGACGAACAACAGGCACTTGAAAAGCTTCAAATCAAGACTGCTCCTCCATCTGGATTGTATAATTACAATTACTTACAGACTTGGAATAAAAACAGAATGACAGTGTTCAAAGGCTTTTTGAAGTAGACAACAACAAGGATGTAGTTCCAACCCTGGAGGCAAAGCTAAAAATGATTCAGCTTTATCATAACAAGGGGATAGATTTGTTGAAACTTGGATGCACACTTCCAAATCTAGCAAGCATATGTCTACACAAATTACAAGATTTATCCATTTTGCGAAAGTGAGTAAGATTTGTATGAAAAAATTATAGTAGACATGACTGGTGGACCTTCCATTGTTTCCACTCGAAAAGCTGTAGTTGATGAAACATTCATCAGAAACTCATCAAATGTTTGTAAGTCGATCGTTGGAATTGATGCAAGCCAGCTCTACCCTTTCTCAATGTGTCAAGATTCGCCAACAGGACTGTACACGAGATGAGAGTTTGACACTGATATGCAGAAACTCAAGACTAGACGTAATTGAACTCGCAACTTTGAGAATATGGTCATGTCTTACTGTCGGGAAACAAGACCAGAATGTAAAAATGAGAGCTTTTTACATCTGGAAAACTGAAAAAAATCGAATGTTTTAATTATGATGGTTACTGCGATCATTGTAAAACAGTATTCGAAGCAAGGTGATGCTACTACCACTTCTGTTCCATTCTAGAAGCTCGTCCCTCGTTAACAGATCAAAATATTGAACGAGGTAATAGGAAGAGAGAGATGGATGATATGCGACGAGAATACATTAAAGAGAAAGGATACAAAATTGAAGAAATGTGGGAGTGTGAGTGGTGGGAAAGTTTCAAAACCGATGACAAGATCAAAAAACACGTCAGAACCGACTTTCCCTACAAAAGAGCACTTTCGACAGGCTCCCTTCTAGCAAAGATAAAAGATGGATCTCTTTTTGGATATGTTCAGTGCGATTTAGTTGTTCCAGATGAGCTAAAATCAAAATTTGTTAACTTTCCTCCAATTTTCAAAAATACTGAGGTTGGAAAAAACGATATTGGAGACTACATAGAGAATTATGCAACCCAGAATGAAATGTTAAAACATCCTCAGAGAATGCTGATAGCTAGTTTCAAGCTAGAAAATGGAACAGTTATAACTCCTCTGTTCAAATTTTTTTTGGAACTTGGCTTGCAGTGCACCAAAATTTACCGTTTTGTTCAATATTCTCTCATTTCCTTAATTTTGTTCAATCAGTGATTAATGCGAGAAGAGAAGGAGATGAAAACCCTTTGTCAGGAGTTGTAGCAGAAACTACGAAGCTTTTAGGCAATTCCTCGTATGGATATCAGATCACCGATAGATCCAGGCATACAATTACGAAGTATCCGAACGATGAAAAAACTCATAAAGCAATCAATGAGCCATTGTTCAAAAGTCTAAATAGAGTTGAAAATGACTTGTATGAGGTGAAGTTGATGAAATCAACCATTAAACACAGAGAACCCATCATCGTTGGATTTTTCATACTGCAGTACGCGAAACTGAGAATGTTGGAACTCTACTATAATTTCTTTGACAAGTTCTGTGATGTAAATGAATTTGAAGAGCTGGAGATGGATACAGACTCAATTTATTTGGCACTTGCTGAAGAAAACTTATACGACTGTATCCAACCAGAAAAAAGAGACATTTGAGAAAAAATGAGAGAAAATGACTACAGAAACTCTTTCAAAGCAGATGCAAAATTTAATTTCTTCCCTCGAACGTGTTGCAGTGTCCATAGAAAATATAATAAGCGGGAGTCGGGGCTTTTCAAAGAAGAGTTTAGTTGCACAGAATTGCTATGTTTGTGTAGCAAAACCTATTGCTGCTATGATAACAAGTCAGACAAGTTCAAATTCAGCAGTAAAGGTTTGAACAAACTAGTTCTAGGTTTGAACAAACGAGTTGTTTCATGGTAGCTGCTTTGTTTTCGTCTTAAAGAGGTCGAGCTTTTTTATTGGCTTAGTTCTTGCTCGTTACTGTTTTTGAAAATCATACGAGCTGAATGTATAAAGTATTTGTAGAGGTTTTTTAAATCAATTTTTTGAAGAGATGGACCCTTGGCAAAGTACAGGAGAGTGCTTGATGAAGCAGTTGATCTCACATCTACTAATAGAGGATTCAGAACTACAAATCATATGGTAGCCACATGAACGGACAAAGAAAGGACTAAGCTATTTTTATTCAAAAAGACACGTTCAAGATGATGGAATTCATGCAAAACCATTAAACTTATAAGAACTCATGCAATGTAATGAATTTTTAACAAATGATGCAATGTAATAAACTATTGTACGAAGTAGTATTTTGTTGGTGTATTATTATATAGTTGCGGTGAAATTCAAATACGATGCAGTGATTTATAAACTTTCTTTGTAATTTAATTTTAAAATTTGACTTTTTTTTGAAGTTTCAGTAGGTTTCAGTTTTGCTTCAAGTAGATAGAAAGTAGATTATCAAAGAAATTAGATCGAATTATACCTAATCTTATCGTGTTTTGAAGTTTTTAAAAAAATATTTCAAAGTTTTCCAAATACTTGAAATTTTTGCATTCTTTTCCAAAAACCTTGACTTTTTCCGAAGTTTCAGTAGGTTTAAAGCCATTATGAGCTTTCCCATTGATATTCAGAACCTTATATAATCTCTTTCTGAGCTCACATTAGGGTAAATTGTATCATATTTCAAAGTTTTGAAAGGAAATTGTGCAAAAATCCATGATTTTGCAATTTTTTCAAAACACATTGGCTTTTACCGAAGTTTCAGTAGGTTTCAAAAAAGATTCGGGTAGATGATTCAAAAATAAGATTATCTGATAAATTGTTTTGAGATCGAATTATAACAAATGTTTTTGTGTTATGAAGTTTACCCAAAAACTCCTATCATTGACTTACGATGTACCAAAAAACAAGTTACAAGAAGTTCATTCCCCAATCTACACGTAATTAACCTGTGATTTTTAACAATTAGATAAGGCGCGCCAAAAATTTTGCGGAAAAACTAGACATTTCCACTCAAAAAACTAAAAAAGTTACGTTTTTCTTACCATTATCTTAACATCACACTGGAACCCTACTATCGGTTTTCCCTATCTCAATACATTGTAGACTCTATACCCAATCTTAATACATAGCATGGCTGACCGGAAATCTATAACGTATCTTAATACATGAAGTCAGTCATGCTCCCCACCCCCACCACTTTAGCCTCAACCTCTACTACTATTATGATTATTATGATTATTATTTTTATTATTATTGAGGAGCAGTATTGAAGTGTTTACCATGTTTCTTAAGTTTTTTTTTCATTTTTTTTTCCTTGAAATGATTTTATTTTGCTAGCGAGAGCAAGTGTATCTGTAATCAAGAGTTTGACTTTTTTCTGTAAAAGAATTTTTTACAAATCTATAATAGATACGTGCAGTTTCTTTTACTTGCATGCTGACATGCTCATTTTCTGGAAAAGTCCAATGAAAGTGCTTGCAAATAAAATTCGGTTCCTAATAGGCTTTAATAATTTTTAGTTTGTTTTTGATTTTTGTTCTAACTTTCGTCCGCGCATTTTCTGTTTCTTGAATCATTTTGAGTTATCTAGTAGGTATTTGAAACCGAAATCCGAAAACAAAGGTTTTCGTCCTGATATTTTCTGTTTTCATCGCAATCGAACTTTCTTTGATTAATTGTTTTTTTTTTTCATTTAACGATTGAAAGTACAAAAGAGTTTTTTTTTAATGCTTTTGCGTATTTTAGGAGGGATGTATAGTTAACAAAAATGAAAATCAAGTTTTTTTGTTTCATGGTAGCTGCTTTGTTTTTGTCTTAAAGAGGTCCAGCTTTTTTTTTGGCTTAGTTGTTGCTCGTTACTTTTTATGAAAATCATACGAGCTGAATGTATAAAGTATTTGAAGAGGTTTTTTAAATCAATTTTTTGAAGAAAAAATCTAAATTTAACAAAATTTGGGCTGCTGTTTTTTTTCTAAAGCAAATTTATCGGTTACATAGCAGTATTTAGACAACCGCGTATTCAGACTCGTCAGTAAGCAGGCAAATACTGTATTAACCAATCAGAATTGAGACAACGAAGAAATGAATAATTATTAATTATTTGTTTCGTAAATTTGCTTTCCTTTCTCGATTCTGATGGGTTAATCTGGTATTTGTCTGCTTACTGATGAGTATGAATACGCGGTTGTCTAAAAACAGACCGCACTCCATGCTTATCGTTGTATCTCAAACGTCGCTTTTCCTCTGTGTAATTTTTAGAAAGTAAATTCGAAATATTCGAAGAGCTGATTGATCAAATCGTGAGAACAAGCTAATTAATAAGTTTAAATCCAGTGTGTGCACCAGGAGGAATCTGAGAATGTCCTCATTATTTGATAACTGCCTTCTTTATCGTGATACACAGGCGTGACCTTTTTTGCCGACCTTTTTTTTCTTTAGGTCGACCAAATTGATTTTCTGAGCTCTCCCAAATCACTATAAAGACCCTAATTTGACCAAATTTTCTGCCCCGCAAGCAAATTTTTGTAAAAATGCCACAAAAGGCGTTTTTAGGCACTTTTTGGAAAATTTAGACAAAAAAATTGCGTTTTTTCGGCGCGCGCTCCGACCTCAAATTTAATATAGACTGGCGCCCAAGGCTCTTTTAGAAAAAATTTACGGTCTGGTCCTCTGTCACCAAATATAGATATCTCAAAATAGTACAAAGGGGGAAAAGAGACCCTTTGGGTGGGCAGGGGGTCGAATTCCTGAGTGGAGAGAAAAAAGCGTCAACCCACCCCCACCCACCCCCCTAAATCCGCTACTGGTGATACATGTTTATTCATTTTAATTTATTTTCAAGCCTCATTGCAAAATTTAACCCCCCTCGGATCATTTTTTCTGTTCATTTAAGTTAAGACAGCTTTTTTTGTTGATAAAAAATAACTATATGAGCTTTTGTAAAAAAAATTTAAAAAGTGGAACGTTCACAAACTGTTCGGATGTCGTGCCTCCTAAATAACATATGATCATCAATTTTTTTAAAGATTTTACCTAAGTCAAGTTATTGATATCGCGAATATCATTTGGTACTTGGTAACATTTCTTGAATTTGGACTTCAATTAATGCTTTCTAAGCTGGAGCTCCTCTTGCCAAGGAAAATTTGGAAAGAAAGTAAACTTTTCCAGGGACTGAATATTGATAATGGTCGAATATAAAAACGGCAGAACTATGGAAAATTTTCAAAATGTCACTGACCGCCACCGAAATAGAACAAACTTTATGTTTCAAGGGTTTCGTTGTCAAAGAAACAAAAAATTGCTTCACTTACTTCCTTTTTTTGAATGGCAATTGATTCTTTTTAAAAATTGACATCCGGCAAATTTTGTTTTCGGTCCTTCGCAGACGAGTTTTTCGCCCATTCGGTCCTTCGCGCATGAGAATAGCCCCCGGAAAGTTATAGTTTTCGGAAAGTTATTATTCGGAAAGTTATAGTATTCGGACCAAAAGCAACAACTGAGCTGACGCAGCAGTATCCAGTGAACAATGGCAAGAGGAGCTTCAGCTTAGAAAGCAAATAACTGAAGTCCAAAATCAAGAAGTGTTACCAAGTACCAAATGATATTCGCGATATCAATAACTTGACATAGGTAAAATCTTTAAAAAAATTGATGATCATATGTTAATTAGGAGGCACGACATCCCAACAGTTTGTGAGCGTTCCACTTTTTAAAATTTTTTTTACAAAAGCTCATATAGTTATTCTTTATCAACAAAAAAAAATGTCTTTCCTTAAATGAACAAAAAAATTGATCAGAGGGGGGTTAAATTTTGCAATGAGGCTTGAAAATAAATTAAAATGAACTAACATGTATCACCAGTAGCGGATTTAGGGGGGTGGGTGGGGGTGGGTTGACGCTTTTTTCTCTCCACTCAGGAATTCGACCCAAAGGGTCACCTCTCCCCCCTTGTACTATTTTGAAATATCTATATTTGGTGACAGAGGACCAGACCGTAAATTTTTTCTAAAAGAGCCTTTGGCGCCAGTCTATATTAAATTTGAGGGCAGAGAGCGCGCCGAAAAAACGCAATTTTTTTGTCTAAACTTTCCAAAAAGTGCCTAAAAACGCCTTCAAAAGCTCGATTCTACCGCTGAAATCAACATTGCTTTCGGTTTTGTTCTTCGAAATTTTGAGACTGGTGAATATCGATATTTCTACGCCCATGAAAACAATACTTTATTTGAAAAAACCCATTTGCTCTGTACTAAAGCAGACTTGATATCAATCTAAGGAAAAGTAGAAAAATTTGCTATTGTGGAACAATGTACCCATGAGCGACAAAACACAAAGTGGCGATTCAAGTTGATCACAAATGTGACAATTTTCGCTGCTTTGCTGGAAACCATCCCAATGGGATGTCCGGACTCTGTCATGCCTGAAGCTTTACTACGAGATACCCAAGTGAACTGTGTTTTATCTAACAAAGACAAGGAACCTTACAAAGATCATTTGTGTCTTTTCCGCGCATTGGCAATGTACATGAACGGACACAAGGATCTCGACTCTCACACATCCAGATACTTTATAGAGTTTATATCAAAATCTGGTTATGTTCCTGTAGAAGACTTACCTGTTGTCGAGGAAATTGTGCAAAGAAACATCTTTATATACAATTTCGATATCCAAGAAAGAGAATATGTAGGAGAACCAGCTCGACGAAGTATCGGAAGATTTGATAAAACTGTTAAGCTACTGAGATTTAACAATCAAATCATTCATACAAATGATTTACATATTTTCTTCAAGTGCTTTCGATGCCCTAGCTGTGACACCTTTTTCTACAAATCAGACCACTTCAATCAGCATCTCCTGAGATGCAAGGACCGAGTGAGAAATATTAACCAAAGAACGTGTATGAGCTCCGCGAAACCTTGTTTGAAAAACTACAAGGATTCAATGTTCCAGTTTCTGAACTTAACAGATTTTTTAATAATCTAGCAGTTTTCGATTTTGAGTCTATTTGTGTTCCTACAGAGGATTTAAACGAAACACAAACTACAACCTGGGTTGGTAAACATGTTCCATTTTCAGTCTCTATATCATCGAATCTGATTGATGAACCCATCTTTTTGTACAACAAGGATCCACAGAACTTCATAATTGATTTTGTAAGCAACCTCGAACTGTTGGCTAGAGAAAAAATTAAGCTGGAGGTGAGCAAAAATCAAGATATTGAAGTAGCTATCAATGAAAGAATGAAAAATATCTTTGATCAGCTAAACGAACGTGATAAAAACTAATCGAATAACAAATTTGAGTACGAAGACGAATGCATTGAAGATTCGGAAGAAGCAGATATGTCAACACAATTCTTACAAATTCAGAAAAATCAGCTCATCGATTTGAAACAGCATCTGGAGAGATATGTAAAAACTTTACCTGTTTTTGGATTTAATAGTGGTAGATACAGTTTGAATTTGATCAAGTCCTACCTAATCCCTTATTTGATTCGCGATAAAAAACAAGAAACATCCGTCATCAAAAAAGCAAATGACTTTCTATCTTTCAAGTTTCAAATTTGGAGATGTACAATTTCTCGACATAATGAAGTTTCTGGGAGGAGCAACTACTCTGGACTCCTTTCTCAAAGCCTATAAAATTAGCGAAACGGAAGGATTGTTTCCCTATGAGTGGTTTGATAACCCAGACAAACTTGATTTTCCCGAATTGCCGCCGTATGAAACTTTTTTCAGTAAACTTAGAACAACAATCCTCTAGACAAAGACTTCCTTGATTATGTGAACCTGAGAAAGAGTGGGCTTGACGAACAACAGGCACTTGAAAAGCTTCAAATAAAGACTGCTACTCCATTTGGATTGGATAATTACAATTACTTACAGACTTGGAATAAAAACGGAAATGACAGTGTTCAAAGGCTTTTTGAAGTAGTACAACAACAAGGATGCAGTTCCAACCCTGGAGGCAAAGCTAAAATTGATTCAGTTTTATCATAACATGGGGATAGATATGTTGAAACTTGGATGCACACTTCCAAATCTAGCAAGCATATGTCTACACAAATTACAAGTTTTATCCATTTTGCGAAAGTGATTAAGATTTGTATGAAAAAACTATAGAAGACATGACTGGTGGACCTTCCATTGTTTTCACTCGAAAAGCTGTAGTTGATGAAACATTCATCAGAAACTCATCAAATGTTTGTAAATCGATCGTTGGAATTGATGCAAGCCAGCTTTACCCTTTCTCAATGTGTCAAGATTTGAAAACAGGACTGTACACGAGATGAGAGTTTGACACTGATATGCAGAAACTCAAGACTAGACGTAATCGAACTCGCAACTTTAAGAATATGGTCATGTCTTACTATCGGGAAACAAGACCAGATTGAAAAATTGAGAGCTTTTTTACATCTGGAAAACAGAAAAAAATCGAATGTTATAATTATGATGGTTACTGCGATCACTGTAAAACAGTATTCGAAGCAAGGTGATGCTACTACCACTTCTGTTCCATTCAAGAAGCTCGTCCCTCGTTAACAGATCAAGATAATGATCGAGATAATAGGAAGAGAGAGATGGATGATATGCGACGAGAATACATTAAAGAGAAAGGATACAAAGTTGAAGAAACGTGGGAGTGTGAGTGGTGGGAAAGTTTCAAAACCGATGACAAGATCAAAAAACACGTCAGAACCGACTTTCTCTACAAAAGACCACTTTCTACAGGCTCTATTTTAGCAAAAATAAAAGATGGATCTCTTTTTGGATATGTTCAGTGCGATTTAGTTGTTCCAGATGAGATAAAATCAAAAAATTTGCCAACTTTCCTCCAATTTTCAAAAATACTGAGGTTGGAAAAAACGATATTGGAGACTACATGAAGAATTATGCAATCGAGAATGAAATGTTAAAACATCCTCAGAGAATGCTTATAGCTAGTTTCAAGCTAGAAAATGGAACAGTTATAACTCCTCTGTTCGAATTTTTTTTGGAACTTGGCTTGCAGTGCACCAAAATTTACCGTTTTGTTCAATATTCTCTCATTTCCTTAATTTTGTTCAATCAGTGATTGATGCGAGAAGAGAAGAAGATGAAAACCCTTTGTCAGGAGTTGTAGCAGAAACTACGAAGCTTTTAGGCAATTCCTCGTATGGATATCAGATCACCGATAGATCCAGGCATACAATTACGAAGTATCCGAACGATGAAAAAACGCATAAAGCAATCAATGAGCCATTGTTCAAAAGACTAAATAGAGTTGAAAATGACTTGTATGAGGTGAAGTTGTTGAAATCAACCATTAAACACAGAGAACCCATCATCGTTGGGTTTTTCATACTGCAGTACGCGAAACTGAGAATGTTGGAACTCTAC